CTTTTTTGGTCTCGATGTGGCTTGTGTAGAACCTTGACTAGAACTAGCCATGGATCTTTTACGATGCGCAACAATCTCTACAATATCATCTTCATCCTCCTCCAAGTCATTAGGCATCTCATCAAAGTCGGGAACCATATTCATTAGATTCTTCTCTTCCTTTTTTTTAGCCACGTGTTCTCTAATCTCCTCCCTAACATGAGCAGGGCATTTTGGACAAGTAATAACACTCGTAGAGTTCCCCGCTAGGTGTTGCTTGACCCGATAGACACCTCTATTTGACTCTTCCACAAAAATTGCATTTGAACTTGTTTGTGTTTTGAGGATTTACCAAGTGTGCATATTTTCATGCCGGATCTTTTTGTTCCCTTCGGACGACGATGTCATTTATTTGTTTATGAATAACACTATCACACTACAATCAAAGGAGTAGTTGCCAAGAAGTGGTATTTAATGAAGAAATCTGAAATCCCATTCATGGCATGGCCAAATAACAGACTGGCCTGGACAACGGGATTTGTCTAGGCTTACATTTGGTTTTAACAGACCATTTCATTCACCATTTTTTTTTTGTCTAGGCTTACATTTGGCTTTAATTCCTTAGATTTTTATAAGATTTTCATATAGACTGGACTGGACAGCGGGATCTTCATATGGACTGGAGTCTGGACAGCAACATAAGGAAAAAGTGAAAAAAAAAAAAACAGAAGCATAATGACAAAAAAAAAAAAAAAAGAAGAAGCACAATCAAAGCAGAATAGGGTAGAATCAGAGCAGGATAGGGTAGAATCAGATCAAGAAAAAAAAAAAAGGAGAATAAGTAGAATCGGTAAAGGAGTAGAAGACAGAAGAAAAAAAAATAGAAGAGAGAAGAAGAAGAGACTAACCTCCACAGTCCAGACCAGCCCTCCAAACCCAACGATATCTCTGGCCAGCAGCAACGATAGTGTAGAAGCAGCGAAAAACTCGAAGCTTTGGAGTGTAGCAGTGGAGAACAGCACCGATCGTGTAACAGTGGAGAGCAGCACCGATCGATCGTGTAGCAGTGGAGAGGTAGCACCGATCGAAGCTATCTGAGAAAAAATGAGACAAAATTAGGTTAGGAGTTTTATTTTTAGGATGAGGGAATAATTCAGTACATCAACATCTTAAAATTTTTTTTGCAATCGCCCAATACAACGGTCTAAATTAAAAATAAAATATTTTGCCTCTTATAACAAAAGTGAACGCTTTTTCGCTTATTCGCTTTTTCTTGCTTTTTTCTCGCCTCGCTCACGTTCGCTTCGCCAAGGGTCCTCCAGGCGAGCTAGTCTCGCCTCGCCTCGCTTCTCGCCTAGGCAAGCGCCTAGGCGTGTTTTTCATAACACTGGGTGTATGCATATTCAACACATTTTTGGTGGTCTCCCAAAATTTAGGATTTAGAATTGTCCCTTGAACTCGCTTTCCAACTAGATCCTTTGCTGCCGTAGTCCTAGACCAATCTTCTGAAGTAAATATCCTTTGCAAACCATTTCTCTGCTCCAACATACTTTGTAAGGCAATATAATTAGTGACAAATCTTGTTTGCCTTGGCCGAATCAATTCCCCTGAACAAAATGTTCTCATTATATCTAAGACTCTATTATGATTATAAATAAAATTGGTCACTCTTTTAGCTTGTTTTAGTACATTTTGAACCGTTTCAAACTTGGAAAAATCATGCAAAATCAATTCTAGAGAGTGGGAAGCACAAGGAGTCCAATATAGGTGTGTTCTTCTTTCCATCAACATTTCACCAGTTTTTTTGTACGCACTGCCATTGTCTGTAATAATCTGAACCACATATTTCTTTCCAATCTCTTCAACAACAGCATCCATCAACCCCAAAATATAATTAACATCTTTGTCATGACCAGAACTATCAATTGACTTATGAAAAACAACTTTTCCATCATAATATATCAAGAAGTTAATGATAGATAATCTTGTGGTGGATGTCCATCCATCACACATGATTGTCACTCCATAAATCTCCCACTTCTTTTTGAACTAGTCGATGTACTCTTTCAGCTCATCTATCTCATTATCTAGCAATGGTCCGCCAATCTCATATGGGGTTGGGCCTTTCACACCCACTTCAGCTAAAGCAATTTCATCAATCATCAATTGGTAAAAATGACCTTGAGCTTTGCTTGGTGGAATATTCTCATAAATGAAATACTTTGCAATAGCATGTTTTGCCGACTTTGCCTATTTTTTGGGATTCCACATATGAGTTAGCTTGGCTTGCTTCACTTCCCTATTCCGATACATCGAAGGATCCATCTCTTCTATCGTGAGATCCTTTTCTCTGCCCATCCACTTTTGTGATTTTCTTGAGAATTTATTCCAAGATTCCTTCACACTATGTGAGCGAATTAAATTCCTAGATATATCACTTTTTTGGATAGATGGTCTAGAACTTCCTCCTCTAAAGCCTTGCTCGGTCATATGTATATCACAAATAGATTGTTGTTTTGCATACTCAATATCATCTCTATATTCTATATCCATATCATCATCTGAATTCTCATTGGAAGAATAAATTTCGATACCACTCCTCCTCCTCGATCCACCAATTAAATTCTGTCTTATTTTTCTCCGTTCACCATTCACTTCTGCATTTTCAGTCTTGTTGCAATTCAAGTAATCCCTCATAGCTCTCGCAATTTAAATAGGACACTTATCACATTGTTCCACATTATTATAACCGCCTGCCAAGTGTTGCTTTAACCGTGACACACTGCCACACATCATTTTTTTATGACAAAAATTACACATTACATGTTGTCGATTATCCCTAATTCGTTCGCCATAATTCCATCTAATATAACGTTCTTTTTTCTTTTTCTGCGATGATTCAGTAGCCACATTTTTTCCTTTTGATGTCATATCTACAATAAATATCATTACGTTATTAAATATATTAAATTAATTCTACAAATTAAATATGACATGTATAACACTTTTAATTAAAATATAATAATATTTTAGAATAATTACAAAAATAAAAAAAAATAATGAAGGGTATCAAATTAAATTAATGGTACTTATGTATGCAGTGGGGTATTAAATATAATTACAGTTGGGTGGTAAATGTAATTGCAGTGGGATATTAAATGTAATTACAGTGGGTATTAACTATTAAATGTAATTGTAGTGAAGTATCAAGTGTAATTGTAGTGGGTATCAAGTGTAATTGCAGTGGGTATCAATTATAATTACAATGGGTATTAACTATTAAATGTAATTACAGTGGGGTGGTAAATGTAATTATAGTATATATCAAATGTAATTACAGTGAGTATTAATTATTAAATGTAATTACTGTTGGGTATTGAATATAATTACAGTATGTATTAAATATAATTATAAGGGGTATTAAATATAATTATTCAACAGAAGACTTCAGAGAAAACACAGAGAGGCGATCGCGATCGCGATGCCGATGCCGAAGCCGGAGTGGGAGAGAGAGAGAGAGAGAGAGGAAGAAGAAGAAGAAGAAGAAGATACCTCGGGCTCGTGGTCGCAGCGATGAAGAAGGCTTTGCGTGGAAAATTTGAGCCCTAGATCTGCGTGAAAAACCCGAAAATGGCTGAATCTGCTCAAATCTGGACTTAAGGTTAGTTCTTCTAGTCTTCTCCTTCAATTTCTCTGTCTCTTCGAGTTCCTGTGGTGCCTTTCCCTCCCTCTTTTGTTTGTTTTTTTTTTTGCTTGAACCTGGAGTCTTGGACAGTCTCTCTTCTGTCTATTTTTTTTTTTTGCTTGGAATACCTGGACTATGTGATTTCTGTGTTTTATTCCCGATTTTTCCTCTGTGAAATTTGATTGACTTGTGGAAGGAATCTGCTTTCTGTGCCTCATGTGATTTCTGTGTTTTTTCTCTGTGAATTCTGACCGACATGTGAAAGGAATCTGCTTTCTAGCATCTCTGTTTTTTTCTTTCGTTTTTTTTACCTGGAGTGAACCACATCGAATCTGTACTGTTTCGACCGAAATGGTTCGACACACTGCCGATTCGAACGAAACATTGGAATTTTAGTATTCATCCCCTGTTTCGTGTCAGTGTGTTGAAATTCTGAAACGTTTCGGATGTTTCGACACGACATTTCGTTCCTTGTACCTCGGTTTCAATTACCTTGGCACTGGCTGCCTCAGTGCCCACCTCCTTGCCCCTCTCTGCAGGTCCAGTCAAGGTTCCCTCACCAGCACTAACTACCTCAGTAGCAGCCCCAATAGTCACTTTCGCCATTTTCTTTGGCCCAAGCTGAGGAATGAAGGAATCCAGGTTAAGATCGGGATATACACCCTTCACTTGCTCTTGGGAGTTCATGAACCCCTTCACAAAGGCAATAACATTTTCCTTTAGGAGTTTAATAACCTTAGCCGTTAGGGACGCCACTTCGGCGTTTGACGCCACAAGCTCGGCATTCTTCTTTACTAGCTCCTCGTCCCTGATCTTCAACTGGACATCCTTCAGCCTGCAGATTCTTGGTAACGAGTGTTTAACTTGTCGTAGATCCTCTTTAGCTCGGCTACCTCGGCAACCAGGACAGCCACCCTTCCTTCAGCATGACTTTTTCCCGCCTCCGCAGTCTCAGCAATGTTCCTCGCCTTAACCAGCTCTTGCTCCTTGGCGGTCAGCTGAGTCGCAAGCTGAACATGGTGAAATTCCATCATTTTCACACAAGCCAATGATTGGAAACAGAGATAGGAGTCAATACAAGCAAGAGATGAAAATACGTCAGAAGGAGCATTCATATAAAAGAAGAAATCATAAGGTACCTCGACTAGGCCTTGGATGACATGTTTCGCCTTCCTCTCAAAGAGGACCCGCATGGCCAGATTGAGATCCGACGTGGGGGACCAGCTTAGCCAAAGCATTCACAGCGGCCTTACGGTCACAAAGGAACCCACTTCCCTGAACAGTTGGCTGAGGAAGGACGTTTTCGCTCCTCACTTCCTTTGGCAGAGACAGTTAAGGAAAAGCAGAAGGTGCTACTGATGGAGGAGGCCGCTTTGGAGAGATCGCCTTCTTTGTGGGCTCGTGGGGCATAGAAGAGGAGACAATAGCCTTAAGGGAAGCCAAATCCTCGCTTTTTTGCTCCAAGGAAGTGAACATCTGCTCTTCCTTTGGGGACAGCTAGAAGCTCTTCACCATCTCTCCTTTTCTTCCTTGTCTTCTCGGCATCAGAAAAAATCACAATAATAAGGTCAGGATCCATCTGTTCAGGTTGGTTAGAAGGCACGGGATCAAAAATAAGAGTGGGAGGCGCATCAACTGGGGGCCCAAGCTTATGCTTGGCAAGATTCTCCTCGGTTACAAGGTCCAGAAAAGACTTCAAGCTAGAAGTTTCTACCTTGCCTACTCTGGCAGCTTCCTCGGCGTCTAGAGTCAGACAAAACTCTGTAGACAAAACCAAGTGTTAGAATAACAATTAANTAATATGGACGTATTTACAAAAATACCCCTGTACCGTACCGCGGGGGCGTTGCCCCTGCACGCCGAACTAATCAGCGTGCCCTTTATATAAATCTCGCAAGACAGATGCCGTCACAGGCTCCGCTCCGGCATCTGCTTCCTTGCCATTATGCACACAGCAAATATGAGCCACACATACTCTAACACACTTTTTGTCTTATTCTTGTTGCCTTTTTCTCATTTAAACAATTCGGTCGTATCGTGTCATTTTTATCGTGTCGTATCGTATCATTTTTATGCCGTGTTATTTTCGTGCCGTGTCATTTTTGGTACGTGTCAAGTTTGTGTTAATAAAAAATTATTAACTTAAAATGGAAGTTTTAAAAACCCATTAAACGAAGCGAACATTTCAAAGAGGAGTTAAAAATTGGAAAAAATGTTGAGTTTAATTAAGCTAATTAAACGTGTCAGGTCAAATACCCCACGTTAAGATTTACCAAGTTCGTATTAAAAAATATTTTATTTATACTCGATTTATTTATTAATTCGTGTCTAACAAGTTATAAGTTGTGTTATATCGGATTTGTGTCGTCTATCAATCGTGTATATAAACGAGCCGTGTCGTGTATTTTTTTTATTAGATTCATTCATACCCAATTTATTTATTAATCGTGTCGTATCGGATCCACTTATTTACTAAAGTGATGACTTAAAGAAAACACAAATCCTTTAACTTTGTATCGTGATGACTTAAAAAAAACACAAATCCTTTAACTTTGTATCGTATTCGTGTTATATTTTAAGTAGAATAGATATATTATGTCAACAATTTTATGTTGCGTACCTGTTTTCTAATAAATGGATAAATGTTCAAGTAAATTCCACAAATTTATATAATTTATCCGCATAATATATAATAAAATTTTACTTTATTTATTTTTTAGCTTTTCTATTGGACAATGTNATATAATTTATCCGCATAATATATAATAAAATTTTACTTTATTTATTTTTTAGCTTTTCTATTGGACAATGTTGCCATAGTGTAATGGTTGCATTAAATATTTACTCTAAAAACAGAACTAAGTGACAAACAAGCCATCGATTCCCATCAACTATTCTGTCACGGGCATGGTCCTTGACCATTGACCTCTGAACCCCAGATATCCGACACGTGTGTCCTGTCTGACAACGCTACTTTCCCCTGACACCCGCTTCACCATTTTAAAACGCCGCACCCTCTTCGGACACTTTCAACTTAAACCCATTCTACACAGAGAAAGTTGCAGATGGACGGACGAAGAACAACGTCGGAGCTGGGTATACAGCTCCCGGAGGCGAAGGTGGCGGCCGAGACCGGCACAATGAGCGGTCCACTGGTGTCAGATGGGGCCGATCGGAAAGTTAGCCGGAAAACTGAACTTCTGCATGTTGTGTTGAGGCTGGTGTGTCTTTTGACATCCGTGACGGCGTTGTCAGTGATGGTTACTGCAAAGGAAGCTTCCACTATCTCCATCTATGGGTTTAACCTACCTGTGTACTCCAAGTGGTCCTTCTCTAACTCATTCGAGTAAGTTTTTGCTTAACCATTTTTCTGTTAACTCATTTCCATTCGTTTTCTCGTTATATAGCTTGTTAAATAGTTGCTAATGGTCATTGTTTCGCTGCCGAGAAACCTGGGGAAAAGAAATAGGAAGTTTGGCCATTGGAGTCCAGGATTTCTTGTTTTCTCTCATTTTCTCACCAACCAAACAGAACAATAATTGGAATTTATGTTAGAGGTAAGAAGTGCCCACTACTGACCTTGTATTTGTGTTATGATTTGAGTTACCGGGCTTTGGCCGAAATGGACAGTAGTCCGTTAGAAGTGGGGGCTTAGTTTGTTGGTTTGTCATGTTATGGGGACCCTGACATGACGGTATTTACCCTAGCCTGGTGTGATGATTTTCCAGTCATGCACATATCGACAAGTTTTTATTACCGCCTCTCACTAGCTTCTTGCCACCTGATTGATTAGAGAGACACACCCGTGAGTGACTCTATTCCCTGGACATTTTTGTGAATGATTATTAATGGAATTGCCCTTTATGTCCTATTGGTTGTTTCTCAGTAGTCAATATTTCTCTTTCTTTATCTCTGTGGGTGTCTCAGTAGTCATTGAAGCTCATTCTTCACATGGAATGATCTGTTTTGTTTGGGTACATTGATGGAGGGATTGTTGTGCAGGGTTTATAGGCAGCTCTTTTAGACCGTTCGATTGTTATGTATCTAAGTGCCATCTTGGCTTATCATTGTCTTCTGTAGGTGTCCTGGTTGATCAATAACACGGGGGTCAGTTTAATGGCCGTTCATTACAGAGTCCCTATAGATTGTATCAGTGGATGTTGTCAAGGTTGGTGCCAATGGAAGTGCATTAGAGCTGAATAGCAAACTTNGGTCAGTTTAATGGCCGTTCATTACAGAGTCCCTATAGATTGTATCAATGGATGTTGTCAAGGTTGGTGCCAATGGAAGTGCATTAGAGCTGAATAGCAAACTTTTCATTTTCACATTGGTTAGGTGAAGTTCATTTAGTCTGTATGATATGTGAAATTGGAATAATTTTAAGACCGTCATGAGTTTTATANTTTTCATTTTCACATTGGTTAGGTGAAGTTCATTTAGTCTGTATGATATGTGAAATTGGAATAATTTTAAGACCGTCATGAGTTTTATATTGATATTGTTTTGGGGCATGACAAAAGTTGAGAATATGTTTTGAATGATAAGTTGTTAAATAATGTGAATTTGCACTGAGTAGGTATCTGGTTGGAGTTTCGGCAGCTGTTGCTGTACACTCTGTGCTTCAACTGCTTTTTAGTGTGTCAAGGCTGCTTCGGAAGTTTCCAGTAATTCCTTCTAGAAACCATGCATGGCTTATTTTTGCTGGAGATCAGGTAATTGATGTATATCCTTGTTTGTGATTTTTAATGTATTTACTTAGGCAAGAGAAAGGGAGAACAAACTACTAAACTTACATTCTTTCATATTTTGTGCATGTTCAGCTGGAGTTTTCAAAGATTCTGTGTTCTGTGGTGATGAACAAAGTTTGTATAGTTTTGTGTTTTTGTCATATTATTGTAGCTATGGCTGACCGCTCCACTAATTGCTTCGGAGTTCGGGCAAAAACTCTTTTCAATAAGCCTGGATTTTATGAAAAATAGGTTACTGGGAAGTGGAATTAGCATGACAGTATTAAAATAGCTTGAAAGTATTATGTAGCCACACCAAATGAGTACCTCATATTAAATTATAATTTTTATACTTTTTTATTATGGGAGGGGCAATGAAAATAGCTGATAAAACAAATGCAGGTAGTGGATTTTCTGTTTGTCTGTAGGTGAAACCTCCATTTCATGATGTTTGGAGAAATTCTAGGCTTCTAGTCAATCAAATTTTGATTGGTCTCATGTAGGATGATGCATCTTTCCTGAAATTGACATGACTCAGTAATGTCTGTAAACTTTTTAGTTAATACATTTTTCACCTCCAAAAGACATGTTGCATTGGTAAAAAAAAAAAAATGCAATAATCGGTGCAAGTAAGTATGAATTTCATAGCTGAGACTAGTTCAGATAGTCTAAGCGATTTCCAATTTTTGGATTCTCATTGTTGACTTCAAAGATTTTTAGCTTGATTTTTAAGGATATATAACCCTTTCGGCGATATTATTATAGAATGTGTATCATTCCCTACAACTGCAATACATATGGCTGAAGGCAATCTTCAAATCTAAGGTGTTTTAGAAAATAAAATCAATTTAATGACAATATTCTCTACAAAAATAAGATTCACATTGGATTTGTTTTAATNGCAATACATATGGCTGAAGGCAATCTTCAAATCTAAGGTGTTTTAGAAAATCAATTTAATGACAATATTCTCTACAAAAATAAGATTCACATTGGATTTGTTTTAAGCATTCTTTTACCCCCAAATAGAGGCATCCATATATTCTTCTTGGCTCAACTGCCTGCATGAGCTTAGTTCCTTGGTATGGCCCCTGTAAAGGTTTTATGAGGACATACAGTAAGGTTAATTCAAATTTTTGCCAATTAATATGCACAAGAACTTGAGTGGCATAGGTTTGAAATGATTTTTTAACAACTCAGTGGTGTTATTCTTCCATAGCTTCTGATTATCTTGTGTTGCAGGTATTTGCATATGCAATGATGAGCGCTGGGTCTGCTGCATCAGGTGTCACTAACCTAAACCGCACAGGGATCCGACACTCGGCTCTACCAAATTTCTGTAAGCCCTTACATGGTTTCTGCAATCATGTTGCTGTCTCCATAGCCTTCACTTTCTTCACCAGCTTCTTGCTTGCCACATCAGTTGTTCTTGACGTCATTTGGCTATCTAAGCACTGAATTTCCCTTGTTTCCGACTAAATTTATGTAAACTATGTTTGTGTTGATGTATATTTTGGGATTATCTGCAACACCACACAAGCAGTTGTGAAATGGCTCAGATCACAATCACAAAAGCTCTTACTTCAAGCCAAGCTTGGCTGTTCGATGCAAACTCGTATTATGCTTTTTACCTATATTCTTATCAAGGAACTCGAAATGAGCTATTTTGTTATGAGTCATTATTGAAGGAAGGGTGAGGTTGGCCCTGACAAAGTCGGTAAGAGAAGGCTCTGAAGGTGAAAGTTTGGTTGTAAATGAAATGGCTTTTGTGAGTAGTAGTTTGTGTTAGGGAAATCGAGACCTAGGCTGACTTTAGAGCCGTGAGACAGGTCTATCTCGATCCCTTTTGTAGATTATCATATCTCTGTTTTCCTGTGCTAGGGCACACAATCCCAGGGTCACAGGGTTGCAGGTGGTCTTTGAGAAGAAAACAAACGGTTGTGGCACAGCAAGCATGTAACTAGTAATGACGCAACTGGCCTTATGAAAGGGTTGCATTAACGTGCAAGGTTTCATCACTTCAATTCTCTCTCTGTATGCTTCTTTGCAGAATTCGCATATTCACAGAAGTTATGATCTCTTTTAACCAGCAAGTTCTATCCTACTGTTGCCCTTTTTTTTTTTTTTTTTCTGGTACAGTATCGTCATGTACAAGTGTTGTGATTTTTTATTTTTTTTTTAAACAAATTTTGGAAGTCATTCATAACTTTTGGGCATACTTGAGATTGATTCTAAAATAATCCTAACCATAGTGTACATAAGTTTAGAAAATCTGGACAAAGTTGGTGGTTAGGCAGACGCTCCATTGTTCGTGGTGTTGCAACGAATCCAATGAATGATCCTCATTGGGGGAGGTGAGGGGCACGCGAAAGGGGGTAGGGCTTCGGTGTCACCTTGGGGGAAGCCCAGCAAGGCTGGATTTCTAGCAAAAAAAAACACTTAAAAAGTAATAACAGGAACAAGAAAGTTCTAATATTTTTGGGGTTTTTTTCGCTTTGTACTCAATACCGAATGATTTAATTATTTTATATTATACTTTGATTGTCATAAATTAATTTTAATGTGGTCATTAGACTAACATTTGTTTCAAATTCTATTAATTTCAATGTGATCACTTTGTACTCACGTGTTTTGCTCTGGGCAAGACTATAAACTCACAATTCAGATCCTTCATGCCTTATTCATATTCGTCCCCACACCACAGTGGCTCCAAACCAACAGAGGAAGAAGAAGAGCAGCAACAAAGGAAGAAAAAGAAGAAGATCTACATATGGACAGTTTCTGCTGTTGTGGTAAGAGGACGGAAATGAAGACGTCGTCATGTACAAATTTCAACCCTGGGAAAAAGTTCATGATTTACGGGAATAAACAAGTTTTTTTGTACAAATTTCTTCGCCTTTTCGCTGCATGTTAGAGGATTTTCAATTATGAATCAAATTTTTATTCAAATTTAAATTAAAATTTAAGTAAAAAAATTGATTTAATACAAAGAATTATAATGGACAAACTTAAATTTAAAGGAAAAATTCAAATTTAAACGAGGGTAAATCCAAACTTAAAAGAAAATAAATATGATCATTAGATTTTTAAAAGATGGACAAATCTCACCATTAAAGATTTAGATAAGGATTTAACTCTCCTTTGATTTAAATATAAGTTGAGTCAAAGTAATATATGGGTGTAATTCATTTAAGTCTCCTTGTGAGGTCTTTCTGTCATTTTAAAAGATATTAGCCATTTTGTTTAATTTTACTACAATTCAGGGATATCTGTGTAATTCAACTGACAGATTAATATCCGTCTCTTCTCTATCGCTGGTATAGGTGGGGAGGAATTAGGGTTTATTCAGAATCCTAATTCTGAATTTTTGATCTTCGCAGATTTCATTGAATGCAAATTCAAGGTGGTACTCGACTTATTCGCTTCAATTTCACTACAGAATGTGATCAATTCTCGAACTTCTCTTCAAATACTCCCCAAAATTCATGGCCTGTCACTGCATTCTCAGTTCTTCATTCTTATCATCTCTCCCTCTACATCAACAACCCAAGATTCTTACAATTAATCCCTCAATCCACATTCGCCAACGAATCGCATGCCATTTTGGTTGCTCTGAAACTGACGAAGAATCAAAATCGAAGAAACACCTCTTGAATTTGCTCAAACTGTCCGTAACACTCACTGTAGTCTCGGGTTCACTGCCACAACCTTCTTTAGCAGCCAAAGTTTCTGAAAAGAGGCGTTCGGCGAAGAAAACCGAAGCTTTTACACCGCAACAATTGAAATCATGGTCACAGGGACTTCCCACTGTGACCAATCGGCTTCCATATACAGAAATTTTGGGTTTGAAGAAAGAAGGAAAGCTTAAACACATAATTAAACCGCCTAGTGTAGGTCTAAAGCAGAGGCCTCAGGTGGTTTTAGCTGTTTTGGAGGATAATTGCGTTGTTAGGATTGTTTTACCTTCCATAGAGACTGATTCAAAGTTTTGGGCACAATGGGATGAATTAAAGATTGATTCTGTTTGTGTGAATGCATATACTCCACCGTTGAAAAGACCAGAAATTCCATCGCCTTATTTGGGGTTTTTGTCCAAAATTCCAGTTTGGGTGTTTTCGTTTGTGAAGCAGAAGCCACAGTCCAAGAAGGCTTTGGAGTTGAAGAGGGTAAGGGATGAGTTGAAAAATAGGCAGAATGATCAATTCGAGAGGATGAAGGAAGAGAGAGAAATGATGGAGAAGACCATTAGAACGCAGAAGAAGATGGAAGAGAAGAGAAGGAAGAAGGAGCTGAAGAAGATGAAGTATGAGGAGTCATTTCGTCAAGCGCGTATGAATAATGAGCGCATGTCGGGTGTCTGGGATAGATTAGCTAGTGATCCAAATGTTGCGACAGCGCTTGGGTTGGTCTTCTTCGTTATATTTTATCAGACAGTGGTTCTCAGTTATAGGAAACAGAAGAAAGATTACGAGGATAGGTTGAAGATTGAGAAAGCAGAGGCGGAGGAGAGGAAGAAAATGAGGGAGCTGGAGAGGGAAATGGCGGGGATTGAGGGTGGAGATGAGGAGGATGAGGAGGGAGAAAAAGGTGAGGATAATCCTTATATGAAGATGGCAAAACAATTCATGAAATCTGGTGCTCGTGTTCGTCGGGCACATAATAAGAGGCTTCCTCAGTATTTGGAAAGAGGTATAGATGTGAAGTTTTCTGATGTTGCTGGTCTTGGGAAAATAAGGTTTGAGCTGGAGGAGATCGTGAAGTTCTTCACTCATGGGGAAATGTACCGCAGGAGAGGAGTCAGAATACCAGGTCAGATTTCTCTGGACTTTGATGATATCCTTTCGGTTAATTAGTTCACTTTGAACTTAAAATCTTGTTATTAGTGTTTCTGGTGGGCATTGAATATTCATATTTTGTTCGTAAGCTGTTTGGTGTCAGAACTTCTGATTGAAAGAGGTTTTACGGAACTTCATTCGTTGCTTCTCATTTGAGGAATGTTGTCCAAACCAATTACTTGTACCCCAAAGTTCTCCAACCCTGGGTGCTACTGGTTTCTCTATTTAATCTAAAAAACAAAATAACAACCATTATGCTGCGACTTCAGAACCGTCCTTGCAGCACCTGTGATTAGCAACTTTCATCCCAAACCAGCCTGCATGAATGACATTTTCCTTATAATGTGAATGTTAGATCACCAGTATTATTTAGTTTATATTTTGATATTTCCTTATAATGTGAATGTTGGATCACCAGTATTATTTAGTTTATATCACATCAAATAGGAGGCAATGTTTTGGAAAAGATACTTTTTTGATCCCAGTTTAAGCCTTGTGACCTTCTACAAGAAAGAGGCATTTGGAAGGTTTTCCAGAAGCAGTTGAGACCAAGTGCATTGGCTCCTATAACTTCGTGAATTTAGTCATCCGCTAATAAGATGTTATCAGTGATGAACTGTTTTTCCTTTGATTGCCCTGTTATTTAATATTTCATTTATCCTTTTATTTGTTTATGGAAAATGGTCTGCTTTTTTCCTTCCATGTCTTAGCATCTATGTATCTTTTTCTTTCTGTTCTCTGCATTAGGTTTTCTTCTTTGTTCACTCCTCTTTCTGGTATAACTTTATAGGCTTTTCATGTTGATGGTATGCCCTTTAGCAGAAAAAGACTCATGTATACCGCAGGCACTAATTTTATTTTACTGTTCACAAATTTTCCTTTTCATGTCACACTCCCCAATGGAGGGAGCCTCATACATTGGGCTGCCACTTTTTTAGTTGTGTATTCTATGGGCTTTCATATTCCAAAAATGGTGTGGCTCTTTCCTTTTTCATTTGTTTCCTTCTTAGAGGATCTATGTTTCAGTGGCCTGTCTACAGTCATTGCCGCCATCAAGATATATAATATTGCATGCTTTTTCAAACATATTTAGTTTATATACACTACCTTATAATTTCGAAGCCAATTATGCCTGTCTGTTTCATTTTATTTATTCTCTTAACTTTTAGTTTCTGGTTTCTCGTGATGTATTTTGTTTCCTACAAAGCTATGTATTATATGCTGTTCTTATGGCCTGGTAGCTGACTTGATCTTTAGTTCAACCTCTCATCCCTATTTGAGAATTACTAAGATCTGTTTCTACATTTCCCCTTTTTGGTTATCTTCTCTGGCTGTCGTTTGCATGCGATGTAACTTGGGTTGGATTGTCCACCTTCTGTATGTTGCTTTCAGGTGGCATACTTCTTTGTGGTCCTCCTGGGGTAGGGAAGACACTATTAGCAAAAGCTGTTGCTGGCGAGGCAGGCGTGAACTTCTTTTCCATTTCTGCTTCTCAGTTCGTGGAGATATATGTGGGGGTTGGTGCTTCCCGTGTACGAGCACTCTACCAAGAAGCAAGGGAAAATGTAGGCATTTTCTTGAGCTTCTTTCTAGCTTCATATTTTTCCTGATCGTGAGTTTTTCAATGTTCTCTCCTTTCTATTAGTAGTGATTTAGGTGTTAATGTCAAGAGGGGAGACTGATTTCCAGTGCTAAAATTGCATAATTCTTATACCATTCCTTTTTTGCTGTTTCTGTCAGATATCTTCACTTCATGGGCATCATGAATACTTCATTTGTGAATATGCTTTGACACTGCCAAATAATTCTTAATATGAACATTCTTCCATTGGTTTGCACAGGCTCCATCTGTTGTCTTCATTGACGAGTTGGATGCTGTTGGAAGGGAACGTGGTCTGATTAAGGGTTCTGGTGGACAAGAACGTGATGCGACTCTCAATCAGGTGGGCTTGGGCGTGCTTTAAAATTTTTTACTTTGATACTGCTTTAAATGATAAATCGAATATGCATTAATATCCAGTGGCTATCAATATGTTCCAGCTCCTTGTGTGCTTGGATGGGTTTGAAGGAAGAGGAAATGTGATCACTATTGCTTCCACAAATAGGCCAGACATTTTAGATCCAGCACTAGTAAGACCTGGACGATTTGATCGGAAAATATATATTCCTAAACCAGGCCTCATAGGTCGCATTGAAATTCTGAAGGTTCAGTTCATCCCTTTTATCAATAGTACATGCACATGATGTACTGGTTCAATTGCATATGAAGATCCTAGTAATGTGACTTCTCTTCTCTATTTCGTGGCGGTAGGTCCATGCTCGTAAGAAGCCAATGGCTGAGGATGTGGACTACATGGCTGTTGCCAGCATGACTGATGGAATGGTTGGTGCTGAGCTGGCCAACATAATTGAGGTTGCTGCTATCAATATGATGCGTGATGGAAGAACTGAGGTAGTATTTGCTTTTGCAAACATTGAATTGTTATTTTCTTTAAGTTTGTCATCTGTTGTAGTAGATAACTTACCTAGTTAGTACTGCTATGTATAACCTAAATGCAGTAGTCACTATTCATTTGCTATAGAAGTTGTGGGAAACGAAGGCTTTACGAAGTTAAACAAAATGCAGGAGATGGTAGAATTTTTAAAGACTTTGCCTTTGGTAAGAAGTATTGATATAATTCTTTGAGGAAGGAAACGTCAACAATTCAGTGGCACCAATCTCTGATTTTTTTTCCGCAATCATTATTTTTTTGTGCAAACATGATTCTTGCAGCTTCGATATCAAGAATAAAGAGAATTTCATGTGAGTTAATGCACTAGAAATAACTCTTATGGACTATGAAAGGGAAAAGAAGGCCCTATTGCGAGAAATATGTAACTTATGAACGAATCACACTCCAAGTAAACACTTATTAAAACATTGTATATAATGTGCTCAAACAAACCATGTGAGTTGGAGTGGACACCCTTATTGGGAATATCTCTTTCTCCCCATCACAAAGTAGCAGACTAACAGTCATAGAATTTTGTTATATATTTTAATAATTTAAATCCATAAGTTCACATATTGATGTTTGTGTATGTACATTTCTGTCTTAATGTAATTCCTGATATGAACAGTGTTTCATGTGATGCATCTTAACTTCTTGTTGTATATTTCTGAAAAGATTATGGGCCTTGTAGCACTGTGGTTTGCAGAATAAGTCCCCAGGTCCATATTCGGTATCAACCCATGGTTGCTTCTTAGATTATGAGACGATGGGCTTGGACAGTTCCCACTATTTTGTGTGTACACATGGCTAAAGGAATAGGTGCACGTAGACACTGTTACAATATATTCTTAATCTCAACATCATTACCTGCAGTTGCTATTGTTGTGGTCATTCCACATTGGTATTTCTGAATGTGTTACTGCACCTGTGCAGATTACCACTGATGACTTATTACAAGCCGCACAAATAGAAGAAAGAGGAATGCTTGATCGAAAGGAGAGGAGCCCTGAGATGTGGAAGCAAGTTGCTATTAATGAAGCAGCAATGGCTGTAGTGGCCGTGAACTTCCCTGATCTAAGGAATATTGAGTTTGTATAGCCCTTACAGTCAACTCTATGCTTTTATTTAATCCCTTGCATATATTGTCTTGTATTATGTGATCCTTTATTAATGGTTATATATGATGTTTGATTAATTCCATCAGTGTTATGGAATGTCACCATGGCTTCTGATTAATTGACACTATTTCTTTGAGCAGGTCACTATCGCACCTAGAGCTGGCAGAGAATTGGGCTATGTCCGGATGAAGATGGATCACACCAAATTTAAGGAAGGAATGTTGAGGTATTGCTTTTGTCTGCGTCCGTTATTCTTTTCTTCTGCATCCGTTATTCTTTTCTTCCCCTTTTCTTTTTTAATTCTTCTCTTGGGTGTGTATAGTTTTAAGGCAATGAAGATTTATATAACAGTCGATAATAGGCAATGGTGTAGTTTTTGGTTTTTAATTAACAAAAATGTTTTTATGATTACTGCAATAATAGGTTGCCTTGAGGAATGCTATGGAGACTCTTGCTGTTCTACTTTTTAATTTTTAATCATCTTTTCTGTTGTGTGGCTTCCACCACTGTCATTTCTCTTCTGTTTATGGATATAACATTTCTTTTTACGTCAAATTTCATTCAGTCGGCAATCCCTCTTGGATCATATCACTGTTCAACTAGCACCGCGTGCGGCTGATGAGATATGGTACGGTGAGGGCCAGGTAAGAAATCCTTGCACTTCGTTTCATATATATTTGTATAATTTATTGCAGAATTCTTTGAGCCAGATTATGGTGCAAAAGGTATAATAAAGCCTAATGTGCTGTTAGAGAAGTGGCAACATTTGTTGATTGAATTATTAGGAGAATTGTGGACAAAAGTCACATGATCTGCAATTTTACAGAATATATTGCCTATTATGTGGTATAGACGTGAAATTATTTATGAATTATTTTGGCATGACACATTTAGGTAGTTTTAAGGAAGGCCGTATTGACTGATGATTTTGTTGGTGTTTATATTGAGATTGTAAAAGATTAGATCATCCTGATCTTCTCTTTTGCTTGTTATGAGCAGGTAGTGCTGTTAAAGAAATTAATGTACTGATTTATTTTATTGAGGCCTTGAAATGATTGGTAACTAATGGATTGAAATGTTGCAGTTGAGTACGATGTGGGCAGAAACGGCAGACAATGCTAGGTCAGCTGCACGGGCTTTTGTTCTTGGTGGCCTTTCCGAGAAACATTACGGTTTGAATAACTTCTGGGTTGCGGATCGAATAAATGTATGGACTTGACCTTTATACTTGCCAATTTCTGTAGAAGCCATTTAATGTCTTTGTTTTTGATAACTTGCGAAGTTTCTTAAAGTTGATACAGGGAAGCCCGTGTTTTACCAACCTCAGTCTTTTTCTTTATGTCCATTTGAATATTTTGTATATGCCTGTTGACTTACAATGGAAAGAGAGGGGGGAGTAAAAACTAGAGTGAAAATTGAAGTGCCCTTGAATTTTTTAGTTTTTCATTAAATGAAGGGTGAAATTGGAGAAGTTTCATGGACATTTCTCAAGCTCAAAAGGAGTTTCATATTCCTGTCATTTTATTACAGTCGAGCAGTGTTTCTACTTCCATTAATCTGGATATATTTGCACACCTGCTGATAATGCAAATTTTGATCCTCAGGAGATTGATTTGGAGGCTTTGCGAATCCTAAATATGTGTTATGCACGCACAAAAGAGGTATCGCATGTTTTGTGGAAGTTCCACTATTCATTGATGTGTTACCAGAAAAAACTATGCATTGACGTGATCTTTGTATTTCATATCAGATCTTGCTGCAAAACCGAAAACTCATGGATTCTGTTGTTGATGCGCTTGTTAAGAAAAAAAGTCTGAGCAAGCAAGAATTCTTTAACCTAGTTGAGTTGCATGGTTCCCTTAAACCAATTCCACCCAGCATAGTTGATATTAGGGTTGATAAGCGTTTGCAGTTCCAAAAAATGATGAAGAACCAGAACAAAGCAGCTCTTACAGAGTCCGTGTGAGCATGGTGCTTGGACAAGATCTATCAGGTGCTTAATCTTTGATGTTTACGTTAGCCTGATGGATATAACAGAAAAACAACGTTGGAAACAATTAGTACGTCATCAGCACGCCAACTCGAATGCAGCTTGTGGTACAGTGACCCTTCGCGCCTGATATGCTTTCTGGCAGTGACTGCCATTGCATAGCACCAAATTGATCTTTATTGGGTTGCATCCTCATGATCATAGAAGCTAATTTTACTGATGTTCCATTCCATGAAGACACATTTGTGTTTAAGAGATTTGGAGATTACCAGCTTGATTTTCAGGACCAGTGCAGATTGAGCACAGATCACCGCACCAGCAAGAGATTTTGGAGTTTATACCGCGACTGTAAATTGAATTTGCTACCAAAAAGAATAATTTTGGTGTTTGGCTGTGGGGTTTGTACAGCTTTTCTGTTAGACATTGAACACTACACAAGCTCAGGTGCTTTATCAGTCAATTTCAATAGCCTGTTTTTTCCTATTCAGGCTTGAAGGGCATTATTTTGTTCTATGTATCTGCAAGGAATATTCTTTTGAACTATGAAGGATATTAAACAAAGTGAAGACATAGGGACAAGCAGAGACCTAGACTACACATTCAAACAAGGAAGATACTGCATGAGAGAGAGGTGGTGCTTACATACAGGTTCCGCCGCCCTCCTCGCATGTTTACTTGACATGATAGTTTGAGCTATGAAGGTCAACTTCAGATGAGAATTATTATTATTATTATTATATTTTTGGTATCCCGCCACAAAATTGTACCTAATGAGTTAATTTGAATCTAATTCAAGTCTAACCCGAAATATTCAATTTTTGAAAAATAATATATTTTATATTAAAAAACCTCAAGCCACGATTTAAATCGGATACTACCTGTTTGAGTTTTCAAAATTTTTCTTGACACAACCCGAATGCAATGCCAATTACTAAATTATTGAATGATTAACCATATATTTATCAACAAAAAAAATATTTTTCATTCTTAATCAAATACTTGAGCGGGAAATCCATTTTAAAGAAAAAAAAATAAAAAAAAATAAGGATTTTATAAATATTTCATAATAGATAAATTATAAATATATCTTAAATGTATTTTATATTCTTAACTTTTTAATACTCATTATTCACCAACACTATTATTGTGCCACTGCCGTTACCACAATTGAACCACCGCCGTCCCCATTGTGAAGTTACAAGAATAAAATTAGGATAATAATAATTTTTAGACTTTAATTCTTTATATTTGTCAAATAATTTAATTCAATTTAATACTTAAATTTCAATGGATACAAAATTACCTACGAATTAAAAAATTCAGCATTCAATTTTCAATTTTATAAAATACCACCATAATCATGAACTGATTAGCATAGTTTTTGTCTGTGATTAAGATTATAGTGATTTAACTTACTGGGGTAAGACTACTATGTTCCCTCTTTTTTTTTTTTTTTATCTTTTTATCAACGAAGTCGGCGCGAGTCCGATCAAATTGTGCTGGAATAGTTTGATAAGTAGCTTATTGTCGATTCTCATGCGCTGTAGAGTTCCGACATACATCCTACCTTTATTAAGTAAAAAAAAATTATATTCTGGAAATACAATTAAGACCCATTAATTATTAGTTCGTGACTAATGTATAATAGGCGATTTGGGAATTAAGAAAATCGAAAAAGAAAAATTAAAGGGAATTTAAATCCAAATAACTGTGAGGAAACCGCTGGCTTTCCGGAAAGTTCCAAGAAACCTACTTCGAACCCTAACTGATGCACCACCACCCTCCATTATATGCCCATAACCACCGCTAACCGCCACCACGTCCACCACATCCACAGCCGTTTTCGCTTCAAATATTCGAATTCCCTCTTCAGATTCCTACATACCCATTTCAATCAACAGAGGTTTTCTCACCAGTTTCTGTGAGAGAAAATGAAGAACTCAAACATGGCTTCTTTCTTAGGTCACTTCTGCGCTGTTTTGCTACTGATCATGGTCATGGCCACCATAAACACGCCAGTCGGAGCTTCTAAGGAATTTGAAGTTGGCAATGGCGTGGGTTGGCGTCAGCCTCGCGTTAACGAGACTGAACTGTATAATCATTGGGCTGCAAGGAGGAGATTTCATGTTGGAGATTCACTCCGTGAGTTTGTGAATATGTTTTGACGTTAAAGTTTTTTAAGTTCATTAAGAGAGAGATAGATGTAGTTATGGATTGCAATGCCTATTTTTAGAACTATATATGCTTGGCTAATTTGAAGTTTAACTGTATGAGTTTATCATTTGATCTCTACACACAAACACAAACACTCTCTCTCACACATACACACACACATGCTGTTGGCCTATTTTAACTTGCAGGCGGTGAACAACATAACCTAACCATCAAGAACAAGTATCCACTTTGATTGCAAATTTTTGCACCCTAATCAATAAGTGCCAGATATTTCTTGAAGTTGGATTTACTGTCGGGCTACTATCAGATGCGTATTGCAAAAAGAGACATGTCAAAGACGATTTACGTTACAAGCAAACAACCTTACTAATAAAGGGCTTTTGAGAATTTGGTTTTGTCTTTTGGACTCACCAATGTCCCTGACATGTTTTGTACCCTCCACACTGAGATATTCCACCTATACTTAGATATGACACTTCAGTTTTGTCGTATAAAAACTAGTATATGAGAAGTCACAAAAACAATATCTTTGTATGCGAGACAATTATTCTAATTGAAATTTCCCATATCTGGTAAAGACAAAATACTTGTGTAGTAGACTGTCTTTTCACAAACTATTCTATTACTAACTTGTAATTCTGGTGTTTATTATGAATAGCACGTACTTGTGCATGCATGTACTACGATCCTTTTCTGGTTTATAAAAAATAGCATATTGCTTACGCACGATGTAATAAAACTGAAAATGCTGATCATGAACCCAAAAAAAAAGAAAGAAGAAAGAAGTAGGTATTGTGATTCATGGGAAATGAATGTTTTTTTTTTCTAACAAGTTTCCTTTACAAAAAAACTTGCCAACAGCTTCAGCTCTGGACTATGGTGAAATGAGTTACAATGAAGCATGGGAAGTAGTGTTGAGTTGAGCCATGAAACCTATGACCTAACCCTATACTGACATTGCATTATTATCCAACTTTTTTATGCAGGCTTTGAGTATAAGAACGATTCAGTTCTTGTGGTGGATAAATGGGGATACTATCACTGCAACACAAGCAATCCGATCTCCGTCTTCAGCGATGGGAACACTGTGATCAATCTCGATAGGCCTGGCTCCATCTACTTCATAAGTGGCGATCCCGATCACTGCAACAACGGCCAGAGGCTGGTTGTGGAGGTGATCACACTGCACCCGATTTCGCACACTCCTCACTCCATTGCCAGTCCTCCTCAACCTTATTCAGCCATGTCTCCAGGACCATCAACACATTCAAGCTCAGGAGAATCAGTTTCAGTGACAATGGTTTCAGCACTCATGGCTCATATTGCCACTTATGTGACACTTCTATTGCTTTCACCATAGTCTTCTGTTATTACTGTGGTGAAATTATGTTATTAGGCTTTAGATTGTTTCAAGTTCTTGTTGGTCACAGAATCTTTTCTATTGCTTTTTGGCATTTGCATTGAATTATTCCCATTGTCATTTGAATTCGATTGTATTGGGATTTCATATGTTTGGTACTTATGTAGGCTATTTTTTATGATTAATACTATTCTTTGCTTTTGTTGAAGTATTAAGCTACACTATGCTTAAGTTTTTGGAGTGGACAATTGTTTAACATAGTATCAAATTAGAAGATCTTGTGATCAAATCTCGCATGCATACTAATTATTAAAAAGATTTCCACGTGTTAGACTTAAAATATAATCAGCACATGAAAGAGTGTGTTGAAATATAAATATTTAAGATACATCCTCTCTAAGAGATTAAACTTTTGAAAAAGATGGTTATTTATCAGCTTTCACTCCGATTACTTGAAGTTTTCAGTAGAACACAGTTGAGGGGTGTGTATTTGCTATTTATGTGAGGGCTAAAGCTACTCTAATCAGGTATAAGCGAGGAATCGACCCAATCACACGTTACCTGAATTCATGGTTGTAACATATAAGTTTTAAATATTCATGTAATTATATATAAAAATGCACGAATCTATTAAACCCAAGTTTTACACGGTGATCTGAATCATGAGGCAAACTATGTGTTGTGAAGTAATATGCTAGTCCACGCCTTCACAGAAGAAGGATCTTGCACTTTTAATTTATGCCAAGTCCTGCTGCAACAGTACCTTACCAGCCCTGGGCAGTGGTACTGAATCTGTGAAATCCACAGAACCTCTCACCTGGACTGCATGAATGGCTAGTAAATCAGCCACACCATTTGCCTCCCTAAACACACCACACATTTGAAAATCCAAGCCTTCCAAAATGCCAAAAGATCTGCCCCTAAATGTCCTAAAACCTCCAAGGAATCTCAGCCAATTCCAACACCATCTGCACCAAAATCTTAGAATCAGACTCAATAAAAAGTCTGTAACATATGAATCACAAAAATTCTTCAGAGAGGCAGTCAATTTTTTTATTTGTTTCTTGCTTGCAAGCAATTTTACTTTTCATGTAACATATCTGATGATCTTTTACTGTTTTTATTTAATGCTAAATTTTGTATTTGTTTTGTCTTTTAGATTTGAATTCAATTTATTTGCTGCTTTACACTCTCACTGCTTAATCTACAGTGTCGTTCATACAGTTCTAGTTGGTCAAATTGTTTGAAACTCCGAGGCATAAAAAAGAATCTAAAATTAATATTACTAAAAGAATCTAAAATTAATATTACGCATCGCTGCAATTGCATGAATAGTTACAATTTTAGAGCCTCAAGTCTATTCAAATAGGTAAGGTCATACGTTTGAATTTTAAGTTCACCTAAACTTTGACACGCCTGCAATCCTAAACTACGTCAAATAGTATTTATACTTTTTCTATACTTCCACTTTTCTATTTTACCAAACACAAAAAAATTAATTCTTTCTACTTTACATTCCTCCTACCAAATACAAAGAAGAGAGAGAATGATAGAAAGTGTATTAGTCCAAATTTTCATCTTTCTATTTTTATATCCATCCTACCAAACACACCATAAGTAAGAAAAGGGCATGGACTTTTATAACATATCATGTGGAATATGCCTACAATATTGATATAATCACTTACTTAAAATAGAGTCATAGTGGTGTTTGTTTCCCCGGATAATTGGGGATAAATGTGTTGGATTGGAAAAAAAATAATTTGGGATCCCACATATCCTTTATTTGATTGAAAAAAAATGGGATAAAAGTAGGAATTAAATTCCTCCATTCCAACATTTTTGTCAAACAGGCCCATTCTAGTACAATAATGAGGATAAATCAACTGTCTTCTTTTAGAAACCTTTATTTTAGAGGGAGAAGTGACTGCTTACATTGCCATGATTCATGGTGACATTATTATATGTTATGAACAATCATTATATTTTTCTAAATGAGACATCAAAACTATGGTTTTTAATGGGACACAACATGTTTGCAACTTTATTATAAACACATTGTAATTATTTAAACTTGTTTGGTAGTGATCTTTTATTCTGAAAATGAGAGAATTATATGGAGTCTAATCATGAAATTATTTAGGTTTTCAATCAATCAATCAATCAATCAAAAGAGTATGTGTAGTGTGCCCAATTCAAGTTGAGTGTTGAGTAAAACTAAGAGGTGCAAATCAACAATTCAATTATTATGAAGACTTAGAGCTCAACATGTGTCCCTATTTCCAAATCATTTTAATGAAGTATCAACATCTCTCTTACACGCACAAAAAAAAAACAAGTGATTCATTTGGTATGGCGTAACCGACATAGACTTATACTTAAAGGCAATAAAGCTAACCGGCAACAAATAAACATGAGAGTAGATCAAAAAAAAAAAAAAGAAATAAACATGGGAGAGCAAAAAACTTTCTTGGCCATGATTATTACATCTTACTAAATTATTTGTCACGTCTAGTATCATTTGCCTTCATGCATGCAAAAGAATCAAAGAATAACTTGAGAGATCCTTAGATTGATTCTAAAAGTGTTTAATTATATCTCTGGTTTACCGGTGATTATGTTTATCTTAAGTTTAAGTAGCAATTATGTGTAGTGGCAGAGTCTAAATAATTTAGGGTAGACACATTTTAACTAAAAGTTTTATTTTATCCCCTGATCGATAAAAATAATGTGATATATTTTTTTCACATCATATTTAATACTTAAAAGATTTATTAAACATAAAAGGGTCTACAGTCAATATATATATGTATATATTCTATGCAAATAAAAAATAACTATAAAAAGATTAATTATATCCATTTACAAAAAAAAATGAGGCTAATTGTAGATATGCTCTATGAATTTGGTCTTTATCATTAGCATTATAATCCATATTCGAGATCATAGAGCCTGATTTTGAAGGAAGATCTACCAAGTTAAATTCGATGCGACTTTATTTTGAATAATTAGAATTACCATCTCTTTTTGTATGAAGTGACAATTCTAATTATGACTTTCTCTTAAAGTATTTTTTCATAGCTATTAAAAAATTTAATAAGATAACATATATACATCAACCAACTTAGGCATAGTACTCTAAATCATATTTTACTATACTAACCAAATAGATTTTGAAAAAAAAAGAAGGAAAACTTTAATTTTCAGAAAGTGGTTGTGACTCAATAATTTTTTTTTTGGTTATGGGATATGTTGTGGGGTTGTACCCAAACTTTTTTAACCCAATTAACTTTATTTTATCTAACTCATTAAGGTAAGCAAAATTAAAATTATTCAAAAAAAATAAATTTTTTATCTATATTGTAAAAAAGAAAAAATTCTTATTTTTAGTATACAGTAAAAAGGAAAAAAAAAATCCAATATTTAACTACTTGGCAAATAGAAGAATAACATACTAAAAGCCGAGAAAATATTCATTGCAACGGTGATACCATGTCATCACTGTCACATGGTGTCACCATCTAATTAGAAGACAACAAATAAAAAATGTGGATTCCACTAATCTTATGTATTACTGATTGGATGTGGTGGTTACTATTAATTATGAAAATAGTAGAGTTCACTTTCCTTATTTCTAATTTTCAAATTAAACAGTGACACCACGTGGCAGTGATGATGTGGTGTCACTGTTGTATTGAATATTTACTCTTAAAAGTCAGCTCATTATATGATTAATTTCTTGCACGTCTATAAGAAGAGATTGAATTTCAAGTTCCCTTGAAACATGGTTAAGAAATGTAAGAGTTGAAATTATAAACTCAAGAAATCCAATAGGAGGACATGAGGATCCGTCGAAGTCATAACGCTCTCCAGATCTATACTTGTCGGTGTCGGGTTCGACTTCTCCGCGTTCCCTGTAATAGTGTGACAAAAAAAAAAAAGGTCCAATTGGAATACCCGACTCTTTGGCCCTATATATTTTACTTGCCATTCAATTTGTTCCCAATATCTCTCTTAATTCCGACTCTTTGGCCCTTTATATTTTACTTGCCATTCAATTTGTTCCCAATATCTCTCTTAATTCCTGTTTGGTGAGTTAGGTGCACATAATTCTGAATGCAAAATGTCTCCCTCCCTGCTCTTAAGTGGGCTGAGTGCAGACCTTAGGGTGGAGCATCAATGGCAACACGACATGGTCCACAGTGCCCCAATACCACCTAAAATTGACTTGTTTATGTTTTATTCAATGTCCTCTACTTAGTTACCCTCAAATATTATTCTTCTCATAACAATCTCATCTTAGCTTTGAAAGATTTTTCTGTAATCTGTTTGGCCAATCCAATAAATCCAATGACCGACCAAAGTGAGTGGTCCAACAGGTGTGAATTTGCATATCTTGAATTCGAGATTTATTGGTCACAAATAAGTCGAGTTTAATTAATATGTGTATTTTGTGAGTGATTACGTCGTCCATTCAAAATTGAATTATAATAATGAATCTAAAGTTGTATGGTTGAAATGATTTTCTCATAAAAAAAAAAAACAAATGAAACAAAACCATGGACCATAGAAATGGAACAAAGCGGGAGGATGGTATGCAAATATCTCAAATTTGATAAGTAGGGGAGAAACATCTTTGAAGAACTCATCCTAACCCTAGTTCTGACGTGGATGATCTATTTTTGATCGGATCAGTGAGGGGATTACTCAAGGTGCGCACAAGTTGTCTTGAACACTCCGGACTTTTAAACCAAAAAAAAGAAAATAAATCAGTCTAACCACCAATGATTTTTGATGGGGTTTCTAAAAGACAATGAGAGATTTATCTTTTATGAATATTCCAGTGTTGACATGAATGACCTATTTTTACCCAAACCGAAGAGAAAATTAATCGAAATGCACGTAAGTTAGCCTAGATATCCCTTACCGTTGAACAGAAAAAAGGAAGAAGTAAGGGACATGACAACCCAACAGAGATGCAGAACCACTTGAATCGGCCA